GGGGCAAAAAGCGAGGTATTCACGAACAAAGAGTCATTTTAACAACCCTAATCATGTAGCGATAAGACATAAGACAATAAGGGTTTAAAAATATTTAAAAATTATTATTTATATTAAAACATCATTTGAATCTAATTTAATAATTTTTATTCTATTTTCTTAATCAATATTTTAATTGATTATAAATCTTTGTAGCTTTGTAGTCAATTAGATTTTTTTAAAATACTACAATATATATATATATATATATATATAAACTTGATGAGTAGTATTTCGAGCCAAAACGAGCCGAACACGAACGAACACATCTTAGTTCGTGTTTGGCTTGTTAACTTATCGAAAAAAAATTAATGAGCCGAACACGAGCTTCTTAACGAGCCGAACACGAGCTGTTCGCGAACAACGAGCCGTTTTGACAACCCTATTTTGGTAGCAAGAGAGAAGGGGTCGCGGGAGAGAAGGAATCACGAGAGGTAGATAGATGCGACAGAGACGAGGGCAGGAAGTGTAAAAGTCACGAACGAAACACGGGCCGTGGGTCGATCGTGCGGCTGCGGTTATTAGAGAATAAAAAAACTTCGTTTTCCAAAACACACTAAAAACACTAATCAAACGGGATGACAAGATTTTAAAAACGCCGTCTGTACTTATAAACTACCTCAAACATGCCCTAAATCTAAACAAAAAAAATAAAATAATATCATTGGTATTTTTAAGGTACCTTTGAAGTGCTCATTATCGTTTATCTGAAAATGCCGATCACAGAGTTGACCCTCACAATTTTCAAATGGTGAGAAGCGGTAACGCACCATTAGAATGGTTCAGTACGCAAATCCACAAATGAAGCGAGGCGGTATCGTCCTCGTCTAAACATTCCGATTCCGAGGGTTCACTAAACACCGCGCCTCCTCAGGTTCTTCTCCACGGTTGCCTTTAATGCCTGAATTCGATGAACAACATGATCTCTCCGACGACTCCGACTATGCCGCTTCCCAGCAGCAGGCAAACCCCTTTCCTTTCCACGGAAGCCCTAGTGATCAATACGATATATTTATTTCATTTTTTTTCTGGCGATCTTGTCTTCCTGCAGGGATTGGGTGGCAGCGTGCACTCCCAATCCGCCGAGGCCTGTGTATTCCACGAGCATGATGCGTTCGAGATTGTATACTCGAAGGAAAATGTTTCGATCCACACTACGCAGAATGTGGCGGAAAGGATCAGTGGCCAGTTGCACCTCGTCAAACAGCACTCATCTCTTTTTCTGGTATTATAATGGATCTGCGTTTCTTTAAAATTCGCGTATATCTTTAATTTTCTCCCAGGGTTAATTGACGCCTGTTGTTTTGAGTTAAATTGTCAATTTTTTTCATTGTGAATGAGTTTGCACCAGTAACCCGCAAGTATTTTTGCCCCTGCTATGTAGGGAATATGCAAAAAATGGTAAAAAATGCACTGTTAGAAGATCAGATAAATGGATATTAGATGATTAGGAGAATAGATCTAAGATTACATGGATATAAGTTATGAAAAATAGTTTGTGAAGGATAGTTTTAATACCTTATATATAGTTCAACAGTAAATATGTTGGTTAATAAAACCAAACCCAAATAGTTGGGTTGAGGCTAATGATATTTATCATTCTTTTCAGTTTTTGGTTTGCCGATATTAGACGGTGTTTGGTAGCATGTGGTGTTTGGCTGCACCTTGAATTTTTGTTAAATAGGATTTATCAAATTCAATAAAAATTTAGATTTATCAGATAGAGATGGAGATAGTTTTCGACAACAGAATAAATATTTAAATCTGGCATGTGGTCGGATTGGTTAAATCCAAATTTAAGGACGGAATGCAATAAACAGAGACGAAACACGTGAATTTTTTATTTAATGGAGCGTCAAATTTAATTTGCATTTTTTTATTGTTTCGCTAGATTTACGTTAAATTTAGCCTAAATACCATTTAAACAATGCTATCAAATATCACCTTAGAGTTTTTAGCACACCTTTTACATATTCTCTACTACTTGACATGTTGTTTAAGATACATTGAGAAATGAAATTATTAATGTTATTTCAGTCAAAATAGATATTAAAACCACAAAAATGCTCAATTTCTTTGGGATCATATACTTTTGACATTGCACAGTCATGTCCTACATTTTCAGCTCTATAATTTGGTTAATGGACTTGATGTTAGTTAATTTATCTTGCATTAGAAGAGAAAAGAGGATTTAATTCACTAAACAAGAAGTTACAAATGGTGTAGGTGGCAAGAACATTCACCAGCCCACTCCAAAACTGGAATGCACCTAACTGTTAAACAAGAAAAATCCCAGTAAAGTATCTTGCACAAATTTACCTCATATTAATTTCCATACAAATTTAATTCTAGATTTATTTCAATACAGTTGAAATACCAAGTTACTTATATGTATGAAAATACTGTTTAAAACTTCTCTCCGAATTATAAAAATGTGGTTTAATCTGTATGATATATTTAGAAGTGATAGTCTTCTAAAATTACCAAAGCCAATTATTGAAGCAGTGAATATCTTCCACAAAGTTGTCAAACATTAGAACTTATATATTAAATTATATCTAACTTATCTCGTGATAAAACAAGGAGTTATATCTCTTATACAATTTGAAAAGTGAACCTTCCACTTAGAAATATAAACCTATAGAAAAAATATTTCAGAGATCAACTGCTGAAAACTTATATCAAATATGAATTGAGACGAAGAAAATCGATTCTTCAAATATTTTGGTATATTAATGCTATGAAAAATTATTTATATATAGTCATTGTAAGCAGCCAACTAAAAAGATACACAAATTAATTTATAAAAAGTAGATCTCTATTGTCAGTAAAAACAACATAGGCACCAGCAAAGAAGCTAAAGAATTATTCTATCATAAATTACAAAAGGAATAAATTCACCAATGTACGCATTGTCAGAAAAAAAATACAATACAAGGAATACGAGACAACTCGAAGCAATGAGTAGTGGCTGCCAGATGTAAAGAGAAGAATCAAGACATACTATCAATTATTCTCCACCATCCCACCAGCTATGGTAAATACTTTTTCAGAGCAGTAATATACTAAATATTATGGATCGATTTTCTTCGTCTCAATTTGTATTTGATATAAATCTTCAACAGTTGATCTCTTAAATACTTTTTCTGTAGGTTTATATTTTGGAGGATAAAGTTCACTGTTAATTCCAATTTGTATAAGAGAAATAACTCTATCTCGGGAAAAGTTTAAAATAATTTGATGTATAAGTCCCAATGTTTGATAACTTGGTGGCAGATATCCACTGCTTCAATAATTGGCTTTAGTAATTCTTTTGGAAGGTTATTATCTTCTAAATGTATCATACGGATTAAACCGCATTTGTATAATTACAAGTTTAAAAACAGTATTTTCATAGATATAAATGACTTGGTATTTTCCACCTGTATGAAAATAAATCTGAGAATTAATTCTTTTTTGATAGAAAGATATTTGTTGCCATTCTTGCGCGACTTCTGTGATCTTTTTAGACATATCTTACAGTATTTTTGCGTATATAGAGGTTTTTGAGAAAGATAGTTCTTCATTTTCATTTTAATTTTCAAACTCAGTAATTGAAGAAGAAGCATTAGCTTTTCTTTTACTCTCTTCTCTAGTAATTCTAAAATTTGCAAAATCTTTAATTTTGCTTAATTTAGATAGAGAAGGCAATTCGTCTTCTGGTATTTTTTCAATGAGATACTTTTTAATTTTAAATAAATCATTTAGAATGTTATTGCTTAAACCAATTTCACATTCTAATTTTCATATTTGTAAGTCGACAATTTCTAAGTAATTCTTTAAATCTGGATTAGGATTTTCTTCGTTCTCATTGGTTATATCATAAATTTCAATATTTTCATTGTCCATATTTATTTCCTGCATAATTCTCGTGTTAGTATATCAACAAGAATATTTTTATTTCCTTAATTATATTCTAAATCAAAAGTATATGCATAAAACTAACTCTGCCATCTAATGAATCTTTTATTTGACAAAGAATCTATTATTTTTCCTTTGATGAAAGAAATGATAGTCTTATTGTATGTTCTAATTAAAAAGGTTTCGTTTAAAAATATTTCAAATTTTTTAATGGCTTTCTTTATTGCTAATAATTTTTTTTATTAATATGATGGGTTCTGTGGTAGTATATGTTTCCGAACTATATCTACATAGTAATTTTGTATTATTGCGTTAGACTTTTAAGATGGCTCCCCAAGCGATTCCAGAACTGTCAGTTTCGAGTATTAGATAATCACCTGGTATAGGTAGATGTAGTTTTGGAAGTTTTTTGCATAAATATTTAATTTCACATTAAATTTTTTTGTCTGGTTTATGTCAATTCCAAAATTTATTTTTTCACTTTTTCTGTAATGGGGCTCTTAATTCTGCAAGGTTTTTTATAAAAGTTTCAGCATAATTAATATATTCTAAGAATCATTGCAAGTCTTTTTGATTATTTATGTGTTTAAAATGATCTATTTTTGTTAAAATATGTTTCTGGAGTTCTATGGCTCATTTAGTTATAATGAGTCCTAAGAATTCAATAGTATTAGTTAGGAAAAAAACTTTTTTCTTACTTAAAGCTATTTCATGTTTTTTAGTTTTTTGTGAAAATAGAGTTAAATGCTTTATATGTTCGGTTGTAGTTTGACTAAATATCAAGATATGATCTACATATATAAAACAAAATTGTGATAATTCACTAAAGTTATTATACATTCTTCTTTGAAATATTTGCAGAGTATTTTTCAATCCAAAAGACATAACATTCCATTGGTAATGTCTTTGTGGAGTACTAAAGACAATAAATTCTCTACTATTTTGATGCATCATAATTTGCTAAAATTCAGATTTGTAATCTAATTTAGAGAACCATTTGGCTGTTTTAATATTATTGATTAACACTTCTTTATTAATTAAAAAACATCCATCAAATTTAGTGTTATCATTGATTTTTTTATAATTAATTACTAACTTTGCTTTATCTCTAATCTTTTGAGTATGATTTCTAATTAAGAAGGCTGTGCCACTGTGCGGACTATTACTAGCCTCAATTAGTTTAAGATTTAATAATTATGGTATTTAAATTTCGATTCTTTTTTATCTTCTGAAGTGTATTTCATATGGGCGAACCTTTATAATGAGTGAATGATTTATTGGTTCAATAATTGCAACTTGTTCGTCTTGAGTCCAAAATTCTAAGAGATTTTCGGAGTGTGAAGGTTTAAATAAAGAAGATGCGAAGGATCGTGGTTCAGTAATTTTAGAATTTTCAAGAGGATGTGTATCATATATACTTGAATGAAGATTAAATAGTTGAGGGAATGCAGTTTTTATATTTTGATGAAAGATATAATCACCACATTGGCTGTGGAAAATTGGTGTGGTTGAATGACTATAAGGTTGTTTAATAATAGGACATGTTAGTGAATAATTATCGGGTGTAACTAAGATAATTTTATTTTTAAGTTGAGTAGAAGATTAGAAGGATTTAAAGAAATAATTTCCAAGAATTACATCAGGACCATTATTAAAACAGGGCTCCATCATTATTAAAATCGAGTCATTTTTCAAATTAAAACGGGGCTACATTAGGGCCCAAAACAAAACCATATATTGTGCTGGAAACAACACCTAACCAAGATAAAACCAAGCCCAAAATATTTTTCAACATAGTGCCAACCCGAAAGTAAGGTCTAATCTAACAAGTGACCAAAACCCAGCCATCACAAGGCACAAATCAAGCCCAACACAGGGGCAAAACTAAACCATTTCAAGGCAAAACCGAGCCCAACATAGGGGCAAAACCGAGCCCAGCACAGGGGGCAAACCGAGCCAGCACAGGGGGCAAACCGAGCCCAGCACAGGGGGCAAACTGAGCTCAACAGGAGCAAACCAAGCCTAGCATAAAGCAAATTCCTCAAGACTTTAAAACCTAAGATTCACACCCATCCGAACAGAGGTAACAATAATAAAGAGCTCAAAAATCAAGTTCCCTATCAACATTTCGTTCCTCATGTGATTCGAATAAGGAAATAACATGAAACATGACATCCAAAATAATTTTCCAACATAAAGATTTCTTCCAGCATGCATCTCAAACAAGGGCAACAACAACTATTCCATCTAACATGTATGAATATGAGCAGCATCAGAAAGATATAAAAAAGTAAAAATGAGAAAGAGAGGAATCATATTTCTTGA